AAAACTTATATCCTTTGGAACATTTCAGATAGCTAATGAATAACCATTGACTGTCCTAGGAATATGTTCCTTTTCATGTGGATTATATACTTTTATTTCTGTATGACACCCCCAAATATAAAGGTGCCTCAAACTAGGTTTCCTACCCGTCCACAGTTCATAAGGTGTCTTAGGAACTGCCTTACTAGGAGACTCTGTTTATCCAATATGCAGTAATCCTTAATACATGAATCCACATAGAAAACGTTGATGTTGAATTACTCAACATACTCCTAACCATATCCTTTTAAGTACGATTTATCCTCTCAACAACACCATTATGTTGAGGAGTCTCAATTATAGTGTATTGCACACAAATATTTCAAATCTTAAGAAACTTTGCAAATGGACTAGGACATTATCCTCTTTTATTGAACTTACAATAATATTCACCACTCTAGTGAGTTCTCACAACTTTTACTTATTTATCTAACTACCTCTCCATCTCATCATTGTATATCTTTAGATAGTCCAATGATTGAGTCTTTTCATGTAGTAGATAAATATAACTATAACATGAGAAATTATTTATAAGGGTGATGAAATACTTTATACTGCCCCACAAAAGGACGTTGAATAGACCACAAATATTAGTGTAAATAAGTTAAAAAATTTTAGTACTTCTCTTGGCAGATCTCTTTAATGTATGTCTAGTTTGCTTTTCTTAAATTCATCTTGATCACTAAAATCCAAATGAGAAATTGTTTCATTATTCACCATTCTCAAAACTTTTCTTCGGATATGTGACCATAATCTTTAATGCCATAAGAGAGTAGAATTTTAATTATGTGCACTACGTTTAACCTCAAAATAAATATGAGATGCATAAGTAGTTGCACAGAACCAAGTCACCAAGTATTATTGGGAATAATAAATTTGATTCACAACATACGAAAATTTAATGTATGTCTTCTTTTTCAAATTAAGATTTTATTTCGGGCAATCTTTCATGAGGTGACCTAAATAATACCTTATTTCTTTAATGATTGGACCTATAAAACCTTTAAGTAAGTCAATCTCCTTTTATTTGCCTTTATTTCCCATTTTATCCTACTATTATTGGCTCACACATGAGATATAAGTGAATCGACTCTTCTTCATCTCATTTATTCTCGCCTCTTCCTGCACCAGCGTAGCCTTATTCCCATTTATCTTTAATGGTGTTACAGTTCACCTAGGATTGGCCAAACTCGGCAGGTAGGGAGTTTATGATGAATAGAATCATAAATGAGTCTATCACATTCATTCTCATATTTATAAGTGTAACTTATATATTGGACATGTGGGTCACGAGATCACGGATGGAAGGGAATTAGTTGAACTTTTATAGTGGTGAGTTCGATAATGAAACTTTCCACAACAATCTTTTCCGCAATTTTAAATGGAGATAATTCCTTGATATTTATTTAGGAATTCTTTTGTATTATTAGCCTTAATGTTATCCACCATGATTAATTTTATAAAATTCAAACACAACTTATTTGATCGCTCACATACCCTACCAAGAGTTGCCTCTACTTCAGAGCTCTCATCAGTAATGGTTGTGGGCGCTTCATCAGTAATTAGACTATATCCAAATTTAGTGCAACTGATTGAAAATGAATATGCTCAGACAATTTATTGAAGTTCAGCCCATTGAATTTTTCCAACTATAATACTGTACGGATAACCAAATTTTGAACGCTGCAAACTTTAATACATGCTATTTAATGAAGCTTTGAGAGAAAGTTAATGGATTCAGAAATCTTTTAAATTATATATTTAAATATACCTTTGGGCAAATACTTAAATATATAATATAATTGATTGATGTCTAAGAGGAAAGATCTTCAATAGAAATTATAGGTATTGTGATTAATTAGCGGTTATCTTTGGACAAACACAATAATTATCCTAACTTTAATATAATTTCTCGTTCAGTGTCATATATTACAAACCATGGCCCACCTTTGGGTGTCCTTCTAGTTTATAATCTATAACATCAATTATTCAAATATTATAATATTAGGGTACATTAATAAGACATCATCTTATATTTGAATAATTGATACTTTTATCTAATTTAATTATCTATTCCATAAATTAAACTAGGCCACTTTGGTGACTAACTAGTTTCTTACATAGATAATATAATTAGATAATATTTTGTTTTAATTATATTTTATCTAATTTAATTATCTATTCCATAAATTAAACTAGGCCACTTTGGTGACTAACTAGTTTCTTTACATAGATAATATAATTAGAAAATATTTTATTTTATTGATATTTCATCTAATTTAATTATCTATTCCATAAATTAAACTAGGCCACTTTGGTGACTAACTAGTTTCTTTACATAGATAATATAATTAGGAAATAATGTTATTAAATTCTGAGATTATTGACATTTGATTAATCTCTTTCAACAAATAATCAACTGTAACATATGTCAATATCAAATAAAATAAATAGAACTAAAAGTCCTGCAATCAGTGACATACAATAACTGTAATTAGTCTCCTATGATGGAGAGTTTCATAATTAACCCCCATAATCTTTCACAAACAATTGTCATCAATACACAATTGACAATCATGATGCGGGAATTAAAACACTTCAAGGCACAAACCCCTTTCTTTTTTTTTTTTTTTCCTGCACAATTGACTGTCCAATGGAACAACTCACGCAATTCATACCAATTCATACTGTAATAGTCAGAATTAAAACTCTAATTGACAATTCCTTCATAAACTCTAATTGGCAGATATTGCAATTGCAGTAGTAAAACAACTCACGGTCTTTCAGTGCAAATATATATCTTCATAATTGCAGTAGCGAGCATAAACAAGATCAATTCACACGCTAGCTTAAAACTTTAATTGGCAATATAATCATACAAAACACACGCTCTGATACCACATGTAAGAAATTTGACGGGCATACTCATAACTATCAGGCGGAATTGAATAAACCCTAAGCATGTAATTATATCAGTTCATAGAATATGGATCTTTGCATAAATTAAATTGCACATAGAACTTACAAGAATCCAGCTTATAGTCCTTCCCTGTTTTCTTGATCTATGATGTTGATCTGCGATCTCTTCCTCGTAATGATGTTGATCTGCGATCTCTTCCTCGTAATCTCGTGGATCTGTCTTTCTCATAATCTCCAATGCCTTTTCCTATGAATTGTTTCTCTCTCCCGCGTCTCTCGTCTTTTCATAAAGCCCTTGATGTTGAGAACTTTATTTCGTATGAGATGAGAGAGAGGGGCATGTAGTATATATAGGAGGAGACCTACAAACCTATTCCTACTAACATTCCCCATGTTCTAACCCTAACTTAATGTCCAAGTCAAACATCACAAATTAGACTCTTTAATATTAGAATATTAATAATCCATTAAATACATATTCACCTTAAATATGTTTGACTATTAATTCAATTAGGTCCAATTAATTACATGGTCCACAATAATAGAATAATATATAAAATATTATTACAAGAGGAAGAATATGAAAACCAGAAAGGGTTTTGGACAGTTTTATTTTTCCTATAAAACTGATAGATATTATGAAAAGTTGGGGCGGTTAAAAAAAATAAAATCAAATAAAATAAATAACCACCACATTTGTTAAAACCTAAAAGCCTCTAAAGAAAAAGTGTAATTGAAAACATAATGAGTAATTTTGTCTAAATAATAACTTGAGGTAATTATTTAAATTGTTTAAATAAAAGGACAGATGGTGTCATTTATTCTTGAGAAAATAAGAATAAACCCTTCCCGTAAGTAAGAAATAAACCCTTTCCTTAAGGCTTAATGTAATATATTGTTGGTAGTGTAATATATTGTTGGGTTGGATTTAATATAATTGAGTATGTGGGCTGAATTAATTAAGTGAGTTGGGCTATGTGAGCTAAACTAATTAAGTGAGCTGGGCTAAAATAAAAAAAGATCATAAAATATACATAATATAAATAGAGTGCAAATAATCTTACCTGGGCTACAGCCCGGGTGCCATATGCTGTAACTCCGCCCGGCGGTCAAGGCAAGCTGGCGCTGAAGTTTCCCTGTAGCAACAATGGCGGGGACGTGCTGTGAGGAAGAAAGAGCTTTTCAATGCAATGTTTTGTCTTTGAAATTACTAATTTGCCATTACTTGCACTATTGAGTTGGGCTGAATTTATAAGCCTTAATGGGTTAGTTGGATGGCCCATCTCAGCAAATAAAATGGTCGTGCTAGATATTTCTTGTGGGCTGTGTAACTGGGCTCGTCTTAATTCATGGTTAGCACTCCCTTTATGTCCGTTTCACGCCGTTTTAGACTCCAAAATTAATTCGACCATTTTTCTGGTCAAAACTCAAATAAAACCTCTAATCATATCTTAATATAAATAATTATATATATAATTAATTATATAATAAATAATTAAACAATAACTAATTATATATCAAACTACGACGAAACGGACATGAAAATGACTTTATAATGCACGTAAATATGACGCATGTCAAGCGTCTCTCTCTCTCTCTGAAATTCCATCTCTCTCCGTTCGTCAATCTCTGAAAATTCTATCGTCGATCGTCTCTCTCCCTCTCTGAAAATTGTCGGCCAATTCTCTGGGAAAATTCCATGGCGGGCTCGAAAAACCATCCTCCTCGCCATTCCACATCCAATAAACCGTCTTCAACAATAAGCAAGGTAAGATTTTGGGGATCTTTTTCAACAATTTTGAGTTTTTTCTTCAATTCAGAATTTGGGGATTTTTTTCAAAATTTTGAATTTTTTATTGAATTCGAGATTTTTCAAATTTAGGTATTTGGTTGATGCTAATGCACTTCGAATTTGAGTTTTATTTCACCAATTACGAATTAAATTGATAAATTAGGCTATTTGCATGTTTAGGGATTTATTGATTTATTTGAGTTATAAATCGTGACATTTTCATGTAATATGAAGAGGGTGATAAGCACGAATGTCAAATTTGAACGAGGAGCTCGGGCAGGTGGACACGATACTCTCGGATAAAATGGGAACTTTGACTTGTAACTCAATGGAGTTTGTTAAGTGCTCGGTGGGTGGTAAAGCTTACGGGCATGGCGTGACTGAGGTCGAAAAAGCTATGGCGAAAAGAAAGGGGTCGTTTTTAAATGGAAACGATGATGTGGAGAGTCCTGAACGGAGCTCGTTGGTAAAAGGATTCAATTTTGACGACGAGTGGATTATGAACGGGAATTGGGTGGACGAGCCCCGTTCGGATGTTGTTCGGAGTTTTTCCGGCTGCTGGCCGTTTGCCACACGGCAATACCAGATGTTGATGAGAATACTGGGAAAACGACGTATGAAGCTGAGTCACCAGATGAGGCTGCTTTTGTTATTGCGGCCAGGGAGCTTGGGTTCGAATTCTTTAAGAGGAGGCAAAAGAATGTTTACATGAAGGAATTGAATCCTGTCTCTGGGAAAATGATTGGAAGGTAATAAATATATTTTGGATTTTTGTGTGTTGAGAAAAAATTATGAATTTCATTGTGTTCTAAAAGGAATCTTTTTTGGCAATGCAGGTCGTTTGAGTTGTTAAATGTTTTGGGATTTAACAGTTCAAGAAAGAGAATGTCGGTTATAGTAAGGGATGAGGAGGGGAGACTCTTATTGCTTTGCAAGGGTGCCGACAGGTTGTATATAGTAAAAGCAAACTATAAGATATTGGTATTTGTTGTAAAATTTTGAGTATAATTGTCTAGTTTTTTCTTCGCTTTTTTTAATGTGATTTTTGATTTTGGTATTTTTTTTTTTTTATCAATTGTTGTTGTTATTGTTTTACTTAAATTAGCTGTTGAATTTGAGTGGGCAATTGTTTGTTTGGAGAATATTGCCTCTGTATCATGTTTGGACAAAACATATCACTCTTGACAAACCACTTCAAAGTCTCCGTATCAAAAACCAATGGTTCCTTCTACCATTACAGCTTATTTGGATGTTTGTTGAAATAGAGTCTTGAATTATTAACAATGTATGTAAATTCAATAGTGTTTAAACTGATGGTTATGTGTTTTTTTTTTCTTTTTTTGTTCTTTTTAATTCTTTCTAGTGTAGGTCACAATCAAATACGAAGACGATACCCCTGTCGATGCAAAAGGAGTCGGCCGAAAGATCCTTGGCCAGGTCTACGAGACCTACAAAACCGAGCTTGCCGGCAAAAGATTCGCGTATGATGGTGAGAAAAGCTTGTTCAGTGTGGGTCCTCTGTGTTTATTTGGTGTTGTTTGTTTTAGTGCTCTAGGTTTATTTTGACAGGTAGGTAGTACTGTGGTAAGGTGGTTAATCCCGTGGTTTCAGCATGCATGGTATCTACCCCTCGATGCTTTAGATGGGCAGTGTGTTTTAGGACACTTTTTAGTGCTCATCTCAGTGTGTTTCAGCCTATGTGGGCTTATCTCTCCGGTTTGTACCAGAACTTATGTTTCGTGGTTGTTTTTATGAGAATCTTTTATCGTTTGGAAAAAAATAATAATAAAAAATAAATTGTTACCTGTTTTTCCTCACATAAGTACCAACATTACGAGATATTAGTACTCATTTTTCTAGTGTTGAGTACCTACTACCTACTTTGTAGAAAGGAAAAAAGATGTGCAAGTTCTTAATGATACATGTTTTCATCAGAATAGTACTCACTTTACCAATAATAGTACCAGATCTTCTTCTATGCAGCACCAGTTCTTTATGAATTAGTACCTACTTTGTAGAAAGAACAAAAATGAATTACTTCAATTTTGGTCAACATTTTACAAAATTAGTACCAGAATTAGAGTAAGATAGTATCGATATTATGGTGTTCTAGTACAATATATCGGGTATTCAGTACCAACTTCGACGAATATAAAAAAAAAAAAAAAACAAAAACGATGTTGTAAAACAGTAGCAGTTTTACAACAAATAATACCACCTTTTATTCTATTCAGCACCAGTTATTGATCAATTAGTACCTACTTTGTAGTAAGAACAAAAAATGTATTACTTCAAATTCTACCTATATGTTTTGAGTTCCACTATTTTTCAACCAAATCACGCGTGAACGATCCGTTTAGTATATTAATTAATAATTCTGCCTATATTAATTAATATTTTTCAACCAACTCCGATGAACATAAAAATAAAAATAAAAAAAATGAATCTCGTAAAATAGTACCAGTTTTTCAACAAATAATACCACTCTTTGGTCTATGTAGTACCAGTTATTGATGAATTAATATCTACTTTGTAAAAAGAAAAAAAAATGGATTACTTCCAATTTGGTCAACATTTGCAATATTAGTATCAGACCTAGAGTAGGATAATACCGCAATAATGGTGTTCTAGTACCAGATATCGGGTCTTCAGTACCAACTCTGACGAACGTAAAAAAATTGATTTTTGTAAAATAGTACCTGTTTTGACGCAAATAATACCATATTTTCTTCTTCGCAATACCAGTTATTGATGAATTAGTACCAACATTTGGTCAGTGAAAATATATTCAATTGTGGTCAATATTTGCAATAATTGGTACCAGACCTAGAGTAAGATAGTACCAGCTTTCGGTGTTTTAATACCAGATATCAAGTCTTTAGTACCAACTCCGAAGAACATAATAAAACACCAAATTTCGGTATCAAATGATGTTTATATGACCAATAATCACTCTCACATTATTTTCTATGAGATTTATAACGTGTTTAATTAAGTTTAATCGCAAATTGGTCACAAACTCAACACACTAATGAGAAATCACTACAAATACACCTCATTTCATTGAATGATACACTTCATCTCATATAATCATCATGCATGACTATTCCAAATTTTACCTATATGTTTTAACTTCCACTATTTTTTATCCAAATCACGCGTGAACGATCCACGTTTCATGGTAGACATGAAGGATTAGAGAAATTACGATTCTTAAAATTGTACCTGTTTTAGCCAATATAGTACCGCATCATCTTCACGTGGTACCTATTTTTTATCAATTAGTACCAACTTTTGTTCAACGAAAATGGATTATTCAATTGTGGTCAACATTTGCAATAATTGGTACCAGACCTAGAATGGAATAGTACCAACTTTCGGTGTTTTAGTACCAGATATCGGGTCTTTAGTACCACTTGTAACGAACACATAAAGACACTGAATTTCGGTATCAAATGATGTTTATATGACCAATAATCACTCTCGCATTAGTTTACATGAGATTAAAAATGTTTTTAGTTGAGTTTATTTGCAAATTGGTTATGAACTCGATACACTAATGAGAAAACACTACTAATACATTTCATTTCATTGAATGACACACTTCATCTCATAGAATCATCATACATGACTACTCCAAATTCTACCTATATGTTTTAACTTCCACTATTTTTCATCCAAATCACGTGTGAACGATCCACGTGTCATGGTAGACATGAAGAATTAGAGAATCACAATTCTTAAAATAGTACCTGTTTTAGCCAAAATAGTACCGCATCTTCTTCTACGTGGTACCTATTTTTGATTGATTAGTACCTACTTTTGTGAACGAAAATGGATTATTTCAATTTTGGTCAACATTTACAAAAAGTAGTACCAGACATAGAGTTAGATAATACCAGTTTTGTATTGTTGTAGTACCTGGTATTGGAACTTCAGTACCACTTGTAATGAACACATAAAAACACCGAATTTCGGTCTCAAATAATGTTTATATGACCCATAATCACACTCACATTAGTTTATATGATATTTAAAATATTTTTAATTGAGTTTGATCGTAAAATAGTCATGAACTCGGCACACTAATGAGAAAACACTACTAAAACACTTCATTTCATTGAATGACACCCTTCATCATTTAATTCATATAATAATTGTTATAATTATGTATTCTTTTATTTTTACATCAATATAAATTTTTTATTTTTATTTTATTTTTTGTATATTATATCTCGAAATAGTCATATTTTAACGATCTTCGATTGACATTTATATTGCATATATAAAATAAAAATAATTACATCTATCATTATAAATAAAACTATATTTATCAAAAAACCATATTCGAAATGAATACAACATAAATTATTTTATAACAAATATAATAAAAATATAATTCAGTAATATTATACTTAATATTCACATATATTTTTAAATATATGATAAAAATTTACCAAAATATTTATTTACTGGAACCACATTGTATTCAAATTGAATTTTTGAATAAAAATTTTTCAAATGACACTAATTTTGAAATGGAATAATGTAACTTATTATCAGTTATGTACATCGTACGAGTTGTGTACTAATTTTAAACATACATATTTTATATAATTTTGCGCAATTAAATGGTAATTTAGTACTCAATATCGCGTTTTCAGTACCAATTCCAATGAACATAAAAGAACATCGAATTTCGGTCTTAAATGATGTTTATATTACTCAAAATCACTTACACATTATTTTCTATGAGTATTTGAATGTGTTAATTAAGTTTACTCGACAAGTGGTCATGAACTAAATAGAGCTTTAATTTTGAAATTTAGAAATATTTTGATTTTATTTTTAGGTAATTTTCATTTTATGGAAACAAATTTGTTTTTTAATTTCAATATAAATAAAAATCATCCCTTAATATATCCACAACTCCATGTTTATTGCAATTAAAATAACTTAAGCGACACATTCCATATATGAAACTGATAAATATGATATATCACGCATTAAATTAGTTGATATCCTATCATAATATTTATTTATTTTTTAAAAAAAAATAAATGATGTGATTAATTATCAATAAATAAATATTTAAAATTGTAGTCCTTTACGCACGGGGTTTCACAATAAATAATATAATCTTTCCTTAACGGTCATTTATATTGAAATTATATTCCTTTTAGTTTTTTAAAATGTTTATAACATAAGTCGTCACGTTTTAGCTCTTATACTACGCAGCGTAAATAGAAAATTGTGTTGCGTAAGCTATTAGAGTATAAAAATTTGTTTGTTAGAAATATCAAATATTTGCATATAATAAAATTGAGTTGTTAATTTAAAAACAAAAAAATTTAATAATATTATATGACTCTAAATTTTAGAATAAGATAATAGTTGAGTATTATGATTAATAAATTGAGTGCGGTTTATTTTGGCATGAAATATCCAAATTTAAATGATATGAGTTTCATATGGTATGGATAGAAGTGTATTTAATTTTGAAAATAAAATAAGTGGTACGAATTTTATTTGGTATAAGTATGAAAGTAGAATTTTAGGTCGATTATTATAAAATCAAGGTAATATAATTCTCAATTTTTAGTATATCCCTATAAAAAAAAAAGCAAAAAATTTTCTCCCTCTGCCGACAAAAAAAACCCCCAAATCCATCGTCTTCAACCTAGGCCCGATTGCCTTCCTCTGTGACGATCTGACGCCGGCCAGTGGTCGTTTCTGACTGCTCGGCCCGGCCCTAGGTTCGCAAGTCTTCACTCACCCTGCAGGTGTTGCGATTAGTGGATCTCTTCGTCGTCGGTGCGCTGCGTCGAGCTCCCTTGGTCGGAGTCGCAAGGCCTCTCCCTGGTCGCCGGATGTCTTCGATTGGAGGAGGGAAGCTTCGAGCTTCGATCTGCTTCTGGATGGCACTCTGTCGTGTCCTCTGGTCGACTTCGTTGTTCACGGCGGGGCCTCCTGCGGTCTGGGCTCTGGTCGGCGGTGGGTTGCAGCGGTGTTGGGAAGTGAGTGAGCCGAGGTTGGGCTGGGACTCCGGAAGCTGTGGCAGTCTGGTTACGGCAACCGGAGTTGAGGTTATGAGCCGTCCTCACCCTCCCTCGTTGGCTAGTGGTGTTAGGCGGCGGGAACTCGAGCTCGTCTAGTGGTGTTAGACGGTTTCGGGCCGGGCTTGGTGTGGGGGCGGTTTGTTCTCCTCTCGGTTGGTAACGGGTCGATTCTGGGATTGGTTCGGGCTCGACGTTGGCTATTGTATAGGCGGTTGCGCAGTTTCGGTAGTGGTTCTTCGGGCTTGGAGTCTCTCTCGTGTCGATTGTTCACTGTTGGTTGGGTCGGTTCGATTGCAGTGGAAGGGCTTTGTGAGTTTTAGTTTTGTAGTTCTTGTTTCGAGTTGTGAGCGTTGTTTTGTGTTAGTTTATGTTTTAGTTTAAGTGTTTTAGGTTTGGGCCCTTGGCCCCTGTACACCCGAGTGTCATTTTCATTACCCTGTGGGAGTCCGACACTCGGGAATTACCCTGTGGGGGTCCTATGTTGTTGTGTTTAGTTGTTTTGGGTGTCTTTAGTTTCTATAGTATTACCCCGTTGGGGTCGGTTCTAGGCGGTCTCTTGACCTGTCCTCCCAGTTTTTAGCTATTGGCTGCTTGTATTCAGTTGTTGACTGCTTGTAATCAGCCGGTGGCTGCTTTCTGCACAGTTGTGCGTTATATATATTACCTCTATCGTTTTGGCAAAAAAAAAAGTATATCCCTATAATAACTTGTCATAAGATATTATTGATAATTTTATAAATCGCCCGTATATATAATTTCCGAATGCCACGAGCCTAAGTGGCAGACTCATATGCTTCTGAAGTTTATTTGGCATAATTATATGTTTTGTATTGACACATGTACATGTTCTGTTTTAGGCTTGAGATTTACCATAAACTATTTTAGGCTTTTTTTCTCAAGTTACCATATACTACTCTTACTCTTTCTTATTTAATTCATATAATAATCGTTATAATAAATATGTATTCTTTTTATTTTTAAATCTTTATAATTTTTTATTTTTATTTTATTTTTTGTATGTTATATCTCAAAATAATCATATTTTAATGATTTCAGATTTGACATCTATATTGCATATATAAAATTATTAAAAAAATAATTTAAAAAATATGAATAGAACATAAATTATTTTATAACGAATATAATAAAAATCTAATTCTATAATACACCATAAAATAATCATTTTAATGCATTTTGTCATAGATTTTAAATAAATTAAGAAAATTAAGTGCAAAAATACGGACCCCATTTTGAATTAATTATTACTTTGTTAGTTATTCATTATTTTTTATATTCATTATACATAATTTTACAATATAAAAATAAATTATTTTCGTTTTTCTATTGTACAAATATTAATATATTTATGTATCCGTGTAGTACACGAGTATCGTACTAGTTGATATATGTTCTTCTTGAAAGTTAGATAGATCTTTGAGTAAATATTTTTTAATAAATTTAAAGTTTATAATTTAATTTTAGAGAATTAGTTGATAAATTTGAACGACAAAAATATAGATTTATAGATTTAGTATAATATATATTTATATAAAATAAAGATTAGTAAAATATAATTTTTTTTTTATTTTGATAGTTTATACAAAAATAAATCTATATTAATTAATAAAAAATTAAGAAAAAATAGTAGTAGAAGAGATAAATAGTAGAAGATGAGAAAAAGAAAATGATAAAAAATGTGTGGAAAAGAAAAAAAAAAAGAAAAATAATAAAAAATTAAAAAGTTAGTAGTGGAGAAAGAGGGAGAAAAAAAATAATAAAATAATGTGTATTGTTAAGTTGTAGTGGGATGATGTCATTAGTTAATTTAGTTTTGATTTATTTTAACAAGGGGAGTTAAGTAGAAGAATAATTAGAGAGGTAGGGAGTGCAGTAAATTTTTTTATGTAGAGACTGACATGGAAGTTTGAAAAAGGATTGAGGATTTTTAAATAAGTGTCCAGAAGAGTTTTGAAAGGTAATTAAAGTGACGCTCTCTTATGAAACTTTTGTTATATTTGCTTTCATATAAGTTTCGTACTTGTACACTAATAACGCAGGCTGGCACTCCCGTATTTTTCAACATCACGTGATTTTCCATGTGTTGTTACACAATTTAATATTGAGCGGAAAGTAATTACCCAAAGCCTTCTTGTATTGGAATCAATTCATTAGTGTATATATTTTTATTAATACAGTGTTACATATCAGGAGCAAGTAGAGTAGAGCACTGTTCGAAATAAGTGAAACGTACATGGTACTAGGCACCTATAGCCACGCATCCAATAGCAACTTAAAGTGGCTTCTTCATAATATATGTCCTCCATATAGTAACCACAACAGTCAACACCACCACCATTGGCATTAGTTGCTGGTGGTGACCGCAGTCTTCAATCCGTTTGTGCAGTTCCCATAGTTACTGCTGATGAAGTAATGCGTTTCAGCTGTAGTTAAGTTAACAATAGCCGGTTCTCCCTTCCATACATTTTTTCCTGGGGTGGCTTGGCAAATACTGTAGTCACTCATGCTTACCTCCATCACATCGTTGGCTCTTGGGTCGAATATAAACTCTAAATTAACACCACAAACACAACATTCGATTACGAAAGAATTATTGCAATAAAATTGACATTGTATATATGTGTATTTATTTAAAATAAATAGGTAAACAAATATAATACGATATAAATCCACTTTTGTATAAATAATAAAGCATGAGAGAGAAAAATAACAATGAACTAAGACTACGTTTATATATATAACATATATAAAATAAAATAGCCTCTTACCGAGCATGTCACCCACTTTGAAATTCTTGTCGTTAACCCAGTTGGAATCGAAGGGCAAACCCCAAGCCGCTGCCTCATTATCACCAACAATGTAGAGATCTGCTTGAGCCACATAAACCAACAAGGTCACGGCAATCATCATCACCAAAGCGGTGGCGGCAACACTATTCGCAGTACCTCTTTCCCCAGCCATAATATATTAATTAAGACCAACCTTAGAATTAATTAAAATATGCAAAGGAAATTAATCAATCTCTTACTAAGTTTTTTATGTTTAATGAATGATGAAAATGCAAATGGGCCGATGTTTATAAGCGGGTGGAAGGATCCTACCTACTATTGCTGCTTTTGCTTTTGGGACCCACCTCAATTCCTTTTTTCATGCGCAATTGATTTGAATGGTAAATATTTGAGTTTGTTGTTCAATATGCATAGCTTTTTGTAATTTTCGTTTTAGCCAATGTCCAACCTGTCAAATCTGTGTGTGAGTATTTAATTAACTGCGCGTGCTCAAGTAATCAATTAATTTATTTTTGATATTTGAGTTTGTTCTTTCATATGCATGCGTAGATTTTATAATAGGGTCATCGATTATTTTAGCCAATGTCCATCCTGATAGTGCATTTTGTTTAAATTCCTGTAATAATTTGATTTTTGTCAAATAGTTTAATTTCTATCTTGGTACTATAATATTGTACTTCCATCATATTTTGATTTTTATGTTTTAAGATATTAAATTTTAACGTAATAAAGACATGCGAAATAATCCGTTTGCTCCGTCACTGGTGGATGAAATAGAGAAAACCAATTATATTGTGACCGTTATTTATCATTATCTATCTACCTATCTATCTATCTATATTTATATCTATATCTATATCTATCTATCTATACTATTATAAAAGGACGAGTGGTTTTATAAAAATATGAACGGCCTCAAAAACCTTTACTTTGACATATTTTTAATGGCAAATTAGTAATATAGTAATACTCATCTTATTTTATATTTTAATTAACAAATGAACTACCTAAAAAACTCTTAATTTTATTTTTAATGACAAATTAGTAATACACTAATACTCATCATATCTTATATTTTTAAGCAATAATTAATATTTAGTTAAATAAATATATATACACGACCAAAACATTCTATATCTCCTAAAAATCAACCTCAACATTCTCATACCATTATTCCTCACGAATTTGTTTCTTTTACATATCTGTCAAACTGCTTCTTTCATATCTACATAAAATAAACCCAGACAACAAAGCTTTGAAAATATATATAATTGATGTTTTGAAAAACATCTTATTTTTTATATAATTTTAATAAAAAACGGTAATTACTTTAATTAATAACAAAAAGTACTACATGAAAGTTTTAATGTTTAAAAAATAATACACAAAAAATTGCTATACAGCCAACAACAACAACAACGTACCCAGTATATTCCAAACAGGTTGGGTCTGGAGGGGTTAGTTGTACGCAGACCTAACAATTGTAATTATACAAGGAGGTTGTTTCCGTAACGACCCAAGGTGCATTGCGCCGTTTGATCTATTTTTTTTTTTTCTAGAAACTTCACTATTAGAAGAAGCACTAGAATTTAATTGAGCCATTTTGATCTAGTCCATTATTAGCACTATGCCAGGAGAATTGTCAACAATGACNGAATACAAAAAAATTGCTATATTGCAATAAAAAAAATACAACGATCAGATATTCCACTTAAAATCACAACGAATGTTCATTAGTATAGCGAGTATATACATAATCTAACAAACTAAAAATAGTGGATCAATTCATTTAGCTAATCTATACTTATATAATAAGAATTAACATTTATCCAAAATAGTAGGTCAAATTATGATCAATGTCGGATTTGCATTAAATATTTTAAAAAACCGGTAAGTTTTTGTCATTTTCACACTTCTCATTAATTATGTCCTTTTCACACTTCTCATTAATTATGTCCTTTTCACACTTCTCATTAATTATGCCTTTTTCACACTTCTCATTAGTTATGTCCTTTTCACACATCTAATTAATTCATTAATCACGATATAATTATCATAAATCATTCCATCTGAGCTTTTATCGTAAAAATGTATAGCGATCTGTTAAGACCTTATCTCATTGATATTTCCATGAAGTGTCCTTATCGCGTTCTATTTTTTGGTAACCACTCTATATCAATAACCGGATATTTGGTTAATGATAGCACACGTCTTTATTTCAAGGAGCGGATATTCTTTGACCTTTAATTAATCTGACTGGTTGCCTTGACTTTTCAATTTTTAAAAACTCTTTTTTTAAATATTTCGGCTTAAGATTCGGATTTCATTATACAAGTCATCGGATTGTTTGAATGAAAATGAATGAAAAGAACACCAAAAACAGGTAGCCTTATTCATATAACCAATACTAAAATATTAGTTTGTTCACCAAAAAGAGACAAATCCTAGAAATCTTAAAATATTAGTTTGTTCACCAATCCTAAAATATTAGTTTATTCACCAAAAATATTAGTTTGATTTTTAGGATTTGTCTCTTTTGAAAATATTAGTTTGTGATAATGAGTTACCAAATAATCAAACTCATAATGTTGTGTACAAGGAGGTTTTTAATAATATATGATTGTTACCGAACTTTTTACGATTCAACAATGTTCCTATGTATTTTAATGATTTCAATTTCGATCCTAATGCACGTGAGGTTATATTATTCTTCCAAATTTTACATCCCGTGCATCGCACGGGTTACGTACTAGTTCGTTGTTAAGAAAAATAAACTCTTACATTTAGAAATTGCACCTTAGATTTATTGAATTGAATTTTTATCCCACAAAAAAGGTTATTTATTTGTTCGTTTGATTATTTTTTCCAATTTTGGTCGCAAAGCCAATAAAGTTAACAAATTTTCATCTGACCATTAGGTGAAGAACACATGAAAGAACAATATAAAGTACAAAAATATTAAATTTGCTAAGTATTATAAAAAAAATATAATTAAGTTGTCATACTTACTAATAAATATGAAAAGAAGTAATAAATAAAACTATTATAATTAATAAAAATAAACATAAAAATTTTCAAATTGTACTTATCGATGCAAACTAGTTGAATTGTTCAATGCTTGTTATTTTTTTGTGCTTTAGTTCTATGTGTAAGTTTTAGGTGACAAACAATAGTTATTTGTACTTTTATCCATCTAGGATAGAACATTTATTTTTCAGAAAAAAAAAAAAAATATATTTTAATTTTAAATAACCTTTTATTTTCTATTTTTTTTTTTTGAATATAATATGTAAATATCATATTACACATATAAAATAATAATGTTTTATTATTATTTAATATTTAATATGTAAGAAATTTAACTCAATTGAGAAATTAATAGGTAAATTTGAGATAAAATAATGAGATATTTTAAAAAAATATATAGACTAAAAATTTCATGTGTTAAATATATTTTTAATAGAAAAATTGTAGGTATCCACTAAAAATTGCAATGAATATTTTATTGGTGTAGTGTTCATTGAAAAATTTCATTGTCTATCCCAATAGAGATCAAATTAAATTACATTAAAATTTTTGTTGATTTAATGATTATAATTCCCATTTTTTATTATTGTGTGAATTTCAGTTAGAATTGGTTTTCGGACCATATTTCAACTGTTGGAAAAATTGTCAATGGAATTTTAAAAAATTTAATAGAAGTTTATGGAGAGCTAATTGCAGTGGAGGATACAAAATAACTTCATATTGGGGGCACTATTTAGTTAATAGAAAAAATATACCATCAAAATAACATAATGCACTACAATTTATAAATTATACTTTTCATAGTTTATCATCTTTCTCATCTGTAATACATTTTTAACACATATAAGTTAGAAAATATTAAAAAAAAAAACATGATTTTTTTCTTAGTTCAATATAAAAAAAAATCATTGAAAACAATCTACTTTTTAGAAGTTTTTTTTAAACAAAAACTTTATATGGTATTATAGTTGACTCTATATAATTGATGAATTTAAAAATTATGAATAGTTGAATATGATATTAATGAGAACATTTTTATTATATATAGTATGATATAAAGATATACAATTAATTGATATATAATAAGACATATGATCCTAAAAGTTCTATAATTTATTTTATGAATTTTTTACAAATATAAATTTTATATATATAAACATATGAAAGAACAATATAAAGTAAAAAAATATTAAATTCCATACATACTATTAAAAGTGTTATAATTGATTAAAATAAATATAAAACTTTTAAAACTTGTATTCGATATAAACGAGTTGAGTTGTAAACATTTGTTAATCTTTTGTGATTATTAATTCTATGTGTAAGGTTTAGGTGACAGACAATAGTTATTTGTACTTTTATCCATCTAGGTTAGAAATTTTATTTTTTAGAAAAAAAAATGATTATTTTAATTTTAAATAACCTTTTATTTTCTATTATTTTTTTGAATATAATATGTAAATATCATAATACACATATAAAATAATAATTTTTATTATTATTTAATATTTAATATGTAAGAAATTTAACTCAATTGAGAAATTAATATGTAATTATGGGATAAGATAATGAGTGATTTTAAAAAAAATATATGGACTAAAAAGTTCATGTGTTAAATATATTTTTAATAGAAAAATTATAGGTATTCCACTGAACATGGCAATGAATATTTCATTGGTGTAGTGTTCATTGGAAAATTTCATTGTCTATTCCAATAGAGATGAAATTGAATTACATTGAAGTTTCTGTTGATTTAATGATTATAATTCTCATTATTTATTATTGTGTGAATTTCAATTAGAATTGGTTTTCGGACCATATTTAAACTGTTGGAAAAATTGTCAATGGAATTTTAGAAAAATCAATATAAGTTTATGGAAAGCTAATTATAGTGGAGGATACAAAATAATTTCATATTGGGGGCACTATTTAGTTAATAGAAAAATTATACCATCAAAATAACATAATGCACTACAATTTATAAAAAAAAAAAAAAAAAATTATGGAGCCATGGGATGGTTTTCTTATGGAACCATCCACCACTTAATGTATTGACACCTATACAAATTGTATTTATTGTAGGACACGTGTCAATACACAATTGGTGAAAAAGTGTGGATGCTCCATAAGTCGAGCTATCTTATGGCTCTATAGCAAAACTGCAATTTATAGATTATACCTTTCATAGTTTATCATCTTTCTCATCTGTAATACATTTTTAACACATATAAG